TAGTAAATGAATCCATGCTTATGGAAAATATAATTTGGGTTATATTCAGCGGTATATAACATAAAAAGTTAAAGCCCCTCCCCCTTATTCAATATATTCTTCTACTTAGGGATAATCAATGTTAACTTTAATCTTTCTTTGTTGTACTCATTTTCAATACAGTGTTATATGTGTGTGAATGAATATATACTAAGAGTTTTGAAGGTTTTTAAACTTAAACTTGATTCTAGTATATATATCTTTTCTGTAACTTTTTATGTCACTTACTATCACTAAGTGTGAGTCTGGGCTCTCATGTCTTATGTTGAATCTGAGTAAGGAGTTGTATGTTTGATGTTTATATTGATAAAGTTGATTTGCCCTTATTCTTGGGAATAAACTGTTCACTCCGGGCAGACTGTCAAAACTTAACCTTAAGTTGTTTTCCCAGAGCTTAGCTATCAGTCAGTTCTCTGGAATTCTGAACCCCATGGAAGGTTCAGTAAATGATTATAAAACTAAAAGTGCCAGAGGACTGTGATATGCCTACGTAGTACATTCTCAACTCCACTTATAAAGGATTTTACGTTGTTGTTTTCCCTGCCGGAAATTTGTATTTCATTGGAGGGAAAGTCAGTTCTAATTTCTTCCGTATTCCTGTGGCCCCAGGCAGCCACTCTCCTCGGGGCCTGGCTTTCCTCGTCAGGGGAATCTCTGCAGAAGACAGCATTCTCTGATTCCCGCTCACACGTCCTTATCCTCCGAAGTCAGCAAATCCCTAGGGTGGGTGATGGGCTAGTGCAGGGATGGGCAAACTTTTTGACTCGAGGGCCACAATGGGTTCTTAAACTGGACCGGAGGGCCGGAACAAAAGCATGGCTGGAGTGTTTGTGTGAACTAATATAAATTCAAAGTAAACATCATTACATAAAAGGGTAAGGTCTTTTTTTTTTTTTTAGTTTTATTCATTTCAAACGGGCCATAGTTTGCCCACGGCTGGGTTAATGCCTATCCACTATGCACAGGTGAAGGTGTCTCTGCAGGTCAAAGGTCAGTTGGCTGCAAGACTGGATGTAGTTGGGGAGGAACCCAGCTCTGGACTCTCTCCACCTTTTTGCTGGGAGCATGGTTCATTTGTTAAGTATCTCAGATCTGCCTCCCTGTGCCTGATATTTAATATTTTCCATGATTTAACTTAAAAATCTGGTGTTTGACACTCTCTTCCCCATACCCACTCTTCCAGGCACAAAATGTACCTGTGATGGTCATGATATTTTATCAGTCACCTAGCTGGAATTTCAGGAAGGCTTAGCTTTGAAACTCACTGTTTCTCGACCAGCTGTCAATTGTCTTGACTTTCGAAGGTGAACTAGATATGGGGAAGGGTTGCGATGCAGGGCATATGTCTCTTTTTGGATTCCTTTCATAGAAGAACTGTTCGCCTGTCCCCCGTGACTGTCTGGTCAGCAGTCCAGCATCTGAAGGCAGGTGTTCAGGAAGGACAGGTCTGGAATGAGCTCCAACCTCCAAGCTGAGAAGATGCCATTTCCTCAGCTCTCCTTTCCTCTTCCTTTTTTCTTTTTTCCCTTTACCTTCAGGCCGTGCCATCTGATTCTGCGGAACAGAAAAGGCAGCAACCCAAACATATCTCCATGCCTTCTCACTCTCCCCTTTCCAAAAAGATAGGGTAACACGACACCCTCTCCTAAAAAATTCACACGGACTCTCTTTTATGAGATTGAAGGGGGAGTCGGTAAAACTGAAACATGTAGGACAAAGCGGAGCAGAGGAGGATGGGAGATCAGAAAAGAAAGGGAGTGAAACCGGATCTGTGCTTAATGTGCATGTGGAAAGCAGGCAGGCTCCCTGGCCAGTTGGTAGGGTTCCTAGACTAAACCCCAATCTTGGGACAGTGTGGGAGTCAGCAGGAGCTGGTATTACTCAAGTTTGGGCTGGGGGAGGGTTCTGGGCAGGGGAGGAGGCCGAGGAGCACTAGATTCTACTCTGCATCTGACGGTTCCCAAGCAAAGGTCTTCCCCCTCCGAGCCTCCTTGGAGCGCTGTTGTGTGTTGGCTTTCTCTGGGGATTGCTAAGCACTGGGGACTCCTGGAAGGGGATTCGAGACAAGGGTCATAGGGTGAGTGGAACCTTGGAGTGGCTCTGATTTCCAGAGCTCTCCCGGCTCATGTGGAGGGGTCGTTTCCCAGCTTCCAAGCAAATCCATTTGGGGGGGGGGGCGGTTTGCCAAAACACAGCTGCTGCTCTCTCCCCCGGGGACAGGTAACAATGGCTGGTGCAGACCAAGGTACTGGGTGACCCCTGAGAAGAAGCTAAGGCAACTCCAGGCAGGCAAAACAACAGTCTTACCATTTCAGCTGCTAGTTTTCGGGGTGGGAAAGTTAAGTCTGGGGCAGCAGCATCAGTGACAGATCAGAGGGATAGCAGCATGATTGCCTTTTTAAATTCTCCAGAATTCCGTCAGTGGAATGGTTAAGCCGTTTCTGAGCCCACGGGTTTGTAAACTTCTCCTGGAGACAAGCCAGCCTGTTTCTCATAGGTGTCCATATGGTTTTGTCCCTCCTGCCTGGCTCCGCATGTAGTGGGGATAAAGAGCAAGTCTCTTGCATTTGTGTTCCACTTCATGTTAAATGCCCCCTCTCCTCAAACACTACAGCCAGTCTCTCCTTGGCACCCGGAGCTCAGTTGTATTTTTTCTCCTTCCTGAGATTCCCATTCACTTCGCCGTTTTCTCTCCTTTTGCCTCTTCAGCTTTTGCTCCATCCACTGCTTTTCCATTCCAGCTGCCCGCCGTCCAGTGCCCGCCCAGGTTCCGTCTCACCTTCACCTGAGTTTCCTGTCTGGTTACCCCACCATTCCTCCTGGCCAGTACACCTGCCAGGGCAGGTCGGGACACAGGTCGCGGACGGACCAGCAGTCCAATAGGGCCCACAGGCATGTTTGGTTGGCCATCATGGTGCACAGCCACACAGTCGTTTACAAAACCTTATGTACCAACATTTATAAGTCAAGAGAGCGCATGTGAAAATCCAGATGGCCAGCCGTCCTACCTCAGACCTTGGCTGGAGCCAAGAGGCTGCCACCCTTAGACGGGCACACACTGCCCAGGCTGCCCGGCCCCTCTGCTGCCCGCTCCGTGTAGGCTCCCTGCCTGGGCCATGTAGGCATGTGGGTTGTGACCCCCTCTCTCCTTTGAACATGGCCCTCCCTTTTTCATACACTTACACACCTTTCCTGGTACATCGCCGCCTCCTGAACTAAGTGTAAGCTCCTGACTCCACAGTGTCCGCCAGTGATTCTCAAACTGAAAATGTGTCCGGAACACTTGGGAGATTAAAGACTGATTCCTGCTACCCCCCCACTACCAGTCCATTATGATTTGGTAATTCAGGGGGGACACTCAGAAATACTCATTTTTTAACAAGAAAGATCCCAGGTAATGCTCTGCAGATTCTAGGGCACATACTTTTATAAGCACAGTTCCAGTATGTTCCATTGTCCCTTGCTGACCTTTCTTAGTTTCAGTTCCAGAATTCCTAAAGAAGGAAGTGGCTTGGCCCAAATTGAGGCAGATACCTTTCCTCCCCCCACAGATGGCGGCTCCTACAAACCCCACATGGGACCAGGGGACAGAAGCCATTCCCAGCAGAGTTGCTGGCGCACAACCCCCTCTTTCCTCCAGCTTCTCTTGCCCCATCAGGTGTCTGGCTTGTCCCCGTGCTGGTGGCCCCAGGAAGGCAGGGCTGCTTCTCAACCAGCTGCCCCTCCCCAGAACTAACTAGTCCTGGGCTTTAAGCACAGTAGATGTACAAAGCCCTGTTTCAGAAGTTATATGTGTCCACAGTTAAAAATGCAAACCATGCAAAAGGATATACGGTAAGACTGAGCCCTCCTTCCCCACCTGATTTGGGGCCTCTGTCCCTCTTAGAGGAACCAGTCCCTTTTATGTCTTGATGAAGATAGGGACCCTGGAGAAGAGGCCCATTTGTAACTTTTTATCTCCATAAAGAATTGTTTCCTATACATGTTTTTTTTTTTTCATTTTACAGTAATATGTTGATCATTCCACATCAGTCATCTCAAAATTATTTGAGTTGAATATTTACACATGAAAATCTTGGATTAGTTAGGGAAATGTTACTATTCTTATCTTAAAATTAAGACTTTTGGGGAATGGATTCATTAAAGAGTTTTTGCCCAAGGGGTAGCAATAGAGAGCGAGTCTCTGTCGCCCAGCCCTTTGTGTTCTGCTCTAAGTTGTACATATATGATTTGAAATTGCTGTTTATGTGTGTGGAGGCCACGAAAAATGTCCTCCCTGTTCGCTGCTTATAATTTATAAAAAGAGAAGTTCTGTCCAGAGCTGGGTAGAGGGTCCCCTGCAAACCTAACTTGGAAGTTTGGGCCTTGATGGCACCACAATATTACCTTAAAGATTCCCGGATGTGAACACTCCATTGTTGTCAGATACAAAACTGAGTCAGAAACACTTCTGACCAACATGTTTTTCGTTTACTTACATTGCTGCAGAGACTTACAACAGAAAGCAGCGGCTTTTAAATCCCCATTTCCAAAGTCCAAGTTTTATACAGTTGCATAATATCACCTGCTATGGACCTCTTACCTCCTGTCAAGCAAGTCACGGTCCAGCTCAAAGGTCTGTTCAAATATTCAGGATTTACCATGATATACTTCCTTCATTTCACTTCTTACTATTTCTTATCAGTGGCAAAATGTTGGAAAATTGTAGAAAGAAGACAAAAGAAATTTGGGATTTTATGCTCTCTTAGAGGTGAATGCTGGGTTTCGCAATAGCTTCACAGAAACCCATTTTATTTGCTAAGATCATTCTTATATTCATTTATATCCCACCTCCCTCTCTGAAAAGACAATGATTTCTTGAAGTAAATGTGTACCATAATTGTTATACAAAGCAAACACTCCTCAAAATAAATGAGGTCCAGCTTTGAGAGTAGAAATTAAATGTCCTTGTTCCTTTTCAGGGACACAGAGCCATCAGGAACCATGAGCAACCCATTTGCACACCTCGCTGAGCCTTTAGATCCTGCACAACCAGGAAAGAAATTCTTCAATTTGAATAAATTGAACGATTCAAGATATGGTAGGTACATGGCTCTATGAAGTAAGTGCTGTGGCAGCAATTGGTATCTCATTTGCATAGTAATTATGCTATGTAATTAATTACCTTTTAGGAGAGTTGAAAAAGGCATAGCAGAGAACAGGTCTTGGATTAAGCTTTATAAACACACATACCTTGCATTGCTCATTTTTAAGTAGTAATAATGATGATATACATGTAGCATTTATATAGCATTTTACAGGGTATAGAGTGTTTGTACATATGTATTATGTCATTTAATCTGAGTAACAACCCTAGAGATCATGTTTATAAAGTGTAATAACTGCTAAGGAATCTGAATTCCCAGAGAGAGTCAATGACATGGTCAAATAACAACTTTGTGATTACGCAGAATAGGACAAAAACACGTCTTTTTTATTCCAAATCCTGTGCTTTTCTACCTTTATACTCTTGTCTTTTCCAGATAATTTGGGGAATAATTTCATATATCAGGATGGAACATTTCCTTTTTAAATGAGCAAAGTAGTTTTTCTTATGAATTACCATTGTTTTATCCTAGAAATCCCAGTTACCACACTATATGTTGTTTGGGATTTTATTTCCTTGGAGAGATGTATGTTACTATACCTTGGTCTTAATTACAATAATTGTAAAGGAGTTATTTTCTCATTTCTTAGACACTAGTTTTCATGAGAAATATTACTGTGTGTATGTGTGTTTTACTTGCTAACATATAATACGTTAAATATCTACACTGG